TGAATTTTTTTATATTGACAGAAAATCATAATCTCCGAATCCGAAAAGCCTATATAGATACGTAGATACCTACAAATTTTTGATAGAATCGGACCATAATCACAATAAACTCGTCCGCCATTTTGGAGCCGTCATGTTGAATTTTCTAATTTTGACAAGAGAATCATAATCTCTGACTCCGTAAACCACCAGATACCAATTTTGAATACAATCGGTCCATAATCACAAAACTCGTACCTACACTATTTTGCCACCATTTTGATTTTTTCCATTTTTGACAAAAGAATCATGATCTCCGACCCCGAAAACCCCCAGATACCTACTAATTTTTAATCGAATCAGATCATAAGCACAAAACCAGTCCGCCATGGAGCCGCCATCTTGAATTTTTCAATTTTGACAAGAGAATCATAATCTCCGACCCCGAAAACCTAATTATTTCATAATGCATTGCAGAGATTATACACTCCCTGCATTGTCACCAAAATCATGTCCACCTGCCAAGTTTTTAATCAATCGGACGATCAGAAAGTGCGTCAAATTTAACTTGCAAGATTTGATGATGCTTGTAAAAAAAGACCACATGTAACATTTTTGCTTTGAATGAAATGCTTGATATTGATATCACTTGATACCTATTGAGTTTCCAACTATTCTCGTAGATAACAATTCAGTGCGAAATTCCCGCGTTCTGCCAAAGCCCTCATGATTCATCTCTGACAATGATAATCGTGACGGCTCGGTTCTGGTTCTACCATCCCCTACTCTTTGGTTCTACGCTTCGCGATGTAAACATAAACATAGTAAACAAAGTCAGGTCAGCCATTATCTGGATCGAGATCGAGACCTATAAATACTACATATTTTGCGCGGACGGTAAGAGCAAGCACACATCCAGAATTTCACTCCATATTTGAACCCAAGAATATAAACTATATTCATATTTGAACCCAAGAATATAAATTGTGTTATTTTTATATTCTATGATTGATCGATCAATTCTATTCCGATTCGATGCTAGTATTCCGACACCTATGGAGGACTTGCCCGAACTGACTAGAAAGAAGGAAACTACGAATACGTACTAGGGGTATATCGTGGCGCACTACCGTCTTGAGAATTCTCATATTTTAGTGCAAACGGCCATCTCACCGCCATCTAGACAAAAGTTTCAGAAGTAGGCAGTGAAACGGCGATCTTAACCATATACAGCAGGGTTTGTTAAATCTGTTCATCACTATTTTTCATATTATGACGTTCGTAGAGATAATTTTGTTCGCAACTCGCGAAATACTTTGGTGACCTCGACTATTTTTTCAATTCTGCTCTCACCAAAGTAGCAATTTGCGCATTGAATACAGAAATAACTACTTCAGTTCATTATCTTCATTGCATTGTATCTACAAAACCATGCCCGGAAGAAAGTGAGAACTCACGTCATTGAATTCTGCTGAAGATTCCCAGTTAGGCGTAGTTCTCCGCGCAATATCATTTCTAATAATCAAGTTTTATCTGAACATGGTGACTCAGGTTTCATGGTTCAAACTGGAATAGCTGATAGATCTCATCTTATCTTCTAGCGGAATCTGATCATTCCTATCGCGATTTAATTATTGGTAACTTATTTTGTCCAGAAATAAAATTCGAGAGAGAAATACATATGAAATCAAATGTTCCAGAACAGATAATATTATCTCTAAAACGGTTCGTTTCTCCAACATAACTAGGAAGCAAACAAAGCCTTTGAATTGTAAGATCCCCCTATTTGGTAGAATATGTCAGAGGCGTACTAAGAAATGGTTTGAGAGGGATGAAGACCATTGACATATGTTGGATTCATTATTCCTAGGAGAGTTTTGAACACACCAAATTTCAAATTGACATTTTGTAAAGTTAGCGATATATTTTGATTGATAGAAAAAAATAATGTAACTTTGATGCCCTGTAGATCCCCTACTGATCGAGATCGGACTCATGCTTATGTGAACTTTTCTGATTGGAATTATGAAATCAATCACCCATTTCAGTTTGCACCCCAAAACCTGAATCACCCTGTATGAGTGGTCCAAAAATTATGGAATTCCAAAATCGCTTTTTATCTCATAAACGGAAACATTTATGCAAAATCTGATCAGGCCATCTTATGTTTCACAGTTAATTAACAATCGAAAAACCTGTCAGTATCAACAAAGATGGGATGCACACTGTGAATTTTTTTTCGGTTATTCTAATGTTTTCAATGATTCGTTGGTGCGTTCAGCTCTGGAGTTAATATCACCTTATCTTCATTGTCATACAGAGTTCGGTCGCCTTACCCTTTCGACGTTTCATGTCACCTCGGTTCTACATGTCAAAGTCATTCACTAAAACTTACCTCTTGATATTTGACACTATTTTCCCCGTCACCTCCTCAGAGCTTGTAGCTGATCCTCAAGCAAATATTCAATGTTGATTCAACCAAGTTGATTTCCATTCCTTGACATAGGTGATTCGCATTGGATTGCGGTCCCTCCATTGTAATTTTGTGATATGTGATATTTTAACATTTGTTATTTTGCAACATGTGAAAATAGAATCTTCTTCAGAAGAGATGAGTATATCTTAACTTCCATTGTATGGATGTTTGCCTGACATTCCTCTTCTTTATATTTCAGTCCATTTTTTAACCTAAATATGTCCCCAAATTGTTGAAACGGAGGATGGTTTTGGTGGAGTCGACTGTATAAAATATGTTCCTGCCCAATTATTTTCATAAAAGTGACACCAAAACATTAGTTTATTTGAACTTCCTCTTTTATATTTGTGAGTATAATCACCATTCGTGAATTTGTATCGGAACAATCTGAATCACAATTTGTGTCGACAAATTCGGGATTTCCGTTGGATACAGTGAACATCAATGTCAATCAATATATTCATATGCTTCAAAAGCATGAGGACATGAAGAGAGAGTCTTGAAGGTTTGGGAATACATTTATAGGTGAGTTCAACCATAACCTATATTATGGAATCTATGTGTCTAGTGAGAATTGAAATGGATGAATCTGGAAGAATTATGAAACTTTGTGTACCTATCAAGGTCTCTACAGCACATTCCAAATGAAATGAAATGTATATATTGGTATCAAGGTAATAATGTCAATTTGTCTCTTGTTCTGAAAACGATAGAAGGTGACAAATAGAAATGGGGATTTTTTGTTCCAGTGATAGGTACTATAACTTTCATTTGGTTCTCTTTAATTATAAAAAAAAAGATATAATTGTCTCCTCATTCCTATGACTTGAGTGATAGCAAATTCAGATGAGTTTTATGTATAACAATATTTGAGATGACGCCGTCTCTGACTACGAGTAAGTGCGCAGATTCGTGAAGGGGCTTACTCCGCCATATATTTTTTTCTACTAGGAACACGACTGTGCGAATGTGTTGATACCTTTTTTGTATTTCAGTTCTGTGACTACATCGCAAAACTATATATATACATATATATATACATCACAGTGCCCTTTTCAGAGGTGTCTTGATCAGACATAACGATTATTATTTTGAAATTTTTGTCAGTCGCTGACCACACTCTATCCTCACATCAGCAGTGTCAGAACACTTGCGATCATTTCAGTGACATTCACTGTCACATTCAATGAAACATCTTATGATCATTTTTTGTGAACTAAGCATTTATTTCTCATTCCAACTAATGAAGGTTAACTTATTTTGATTGTCCACCAGATCGCGCTACTGAGACGTGTGGTTAAAGTTGGTATTACTAATAGGTTCTTCTTTTCGTTTAATTTGGCCTCTTCCCACGATATATCTTCCTATGTTGATGTGAAAATTGCTCGTTTACTTCTACAGTGGGAGTGACGTACGCAAGCATGCTCAAGTCTAACAATATCTAGAGTTTTCAATTTATTCACTCAGGCCACACTATTTTTTTCAGAATATTTTCAAGAAAACAGCCCTGAGCCTCCGACAAATTGGGGCTTTTGACTTGGACATAAATCTCACACTCTAGTCACCCAAACTAGTGGGACTGAAAATGTTAGTCCTCATTGCATCCAAACGTCAACTCGTCATACATCTGAATTTGGATTTTGGAATCAGGGGATGTGCTCTCTGGAGCCCTCGAATCGCTTATGGTTGCTTGGGTGGATCCAACTTTTTACCTCTGTTGTTTCGACATACATCCCTGTATTCAGAAGCAAAATAATGAAAAAAAAAACATATGATGTCACATTTCAAATTTGAGGTTTACAGTCGCAAACAAATAAGTTCAAATTCGAAGAATTAATGATCATATATAGTATCTGATGAGTTGTTTCATTTGGCTTTTCGTCTGGGATTGGTAATGGCGGTGCTATGATTGCTTGGGGTGATTTTTGTGAGTCACCCTGTATATAGTGATTCATCATTATCAATTGCAGATTTCAATCTATTGGAGTTGGGATCGAAGTCCAACTAAATTTCATATAGCCTACTACCATTTTTTTGAGTTGAACTCTCAAGTAACGCTTCATCTTCCATCTTGAGTGTGAAAAAAAGAGTGAATAAGATATCGTTGATGTCGAATATTATTCAGGAACTGTTGGAAACAATAGAAATTCAGAGTTAGTTTCAACCGGTGATCAACGATGTTCATATTTTTCAAATGGAAATTTTCATTTTTCCATCTTCCGGATTATTATTATTCAAATAAAATTTGGTGACTGGCTCTATACGCTGAAGCATTTCGTCTTATACTGCTGATTATTTGTGAATATATGGGAAAAGTGCGTTCATGAGATGCCAGAGCATATTTATTTTGGAATATGCTTTCCGCGTGAAATAATATTTAAAAACCGTCTGTTCTCCATCGAGTATTAATTCATATAACGATAATCTGAATTTCGGATACTAAGCAATCTGAGCATTATACTTTTCACGTGTTCATCGTTTCTATTGTTCGTGTATAAGACGACGTCGTGTCAACAAATACATATAGAGAAGAATAAATGGAATCTCATGTATTGAACGAACCTGTACAGAATGGAGGCTCATCCGAAACGTCGCCGCAATCATCGTTTCCATCGCAGTACCCGTTGAGGCGAATACACTTTCCATTTCTACACGGAAACTCGCTGATTCTGCAAGCAGGCCCGGGACTGATTTCCTGAAGGGCGCCCAAGAATACTATCACGGGACACAACCAGAGCCACATCCTAGAACAAACAAAAATACAATCAGGATTTGGTATCGGAAAAACTTGTCTGCATAAAATGTTCATCGAGGAAGCTAATTGCTGAAAGTTTTCTCATTTCCTACTCTTATTCATTATTGAGTAGATCAGCAAATATGAATCCGAGATAGGGTTGTCCATGAAGTAACTAATTGTTTTCTTCTGATCAAATTATCTCAATCCACAAAACAATTTAATCGATTTTGATCTCGTTCCATACTCGTTTAATAGTATTTTCTCCTCGATTTTCTCTTATAATGTCTAATAATCATGTTGACATTTGACAGATAATGCTTTTTGTATGGTCGATCGTTACACTTCAGAATTATTGACACTGTTCCATTGATCCCATCTGAAATGATTTCACGAATATACACGGTATTTCAAGAAAATAACAAGATCTTATCAACATGAAGAAATAAAAAAATGCACGGTACTGGGTGTTTCATAGAAGGTGACCCCTTTGCTTGGGTAGGTATACCACTGCGAAATAAGTTAGGTTGGCTCAGTGAAAGAATTTAGTATTGGCATCCGTGTACACTTCAAAAAGTATTGAGAAACATTTTTTCTCGCAAACTCTTTACGATTATATCAAGATTACAAACATCATTGCATGTAAGTTGAGTGAGGACGATAGTTACACGGTTGATACGTACATAGTAGTTTTTAACATCACTTCCTCAAGAGTAGATATTCATTTTCAAGTCGAATGCGAAACTCCAAAACTATTCAACTTAACAATGAATCTTGGTAAAACTCGATACTGTGTACCTATGCCGTTCTAGAAATATTTTGATTTGAAAATAATGAAGTGATATCTGATATCGGGTATGAAATAAGTATTATCTGTATCAAATACCTTCCTATTCGAAATCATCAACTTCATCCTCATGCTCAATTCATTGATCAAACAAGAAATCACGAGGAAAAAATTGAGATTATTTGACTGAAAACAAAAAATTCAGAGCAGGTATTCGAAATGTCCTCCATTTTCACAAATACACAATTCCATCCTATTTTCTTGAGGATGTATTATTCGCAAGATGGTTGAGGATCAACTTTGAGGTCGGTCTTTTGAGTCATGTTTCATTTTGTCCTGCAGAATGGAGAAAGAAAGTAGAGCGACTAGAGCAGAAAACGTTGATGCCAGAAATAACTGCAGCCAAACAATAGATGCTTCGAAAGAAACATACAATGCCAAGATAAGATCGGAACTCATAGATTGTCCCAATGACTCCCGTTCGTTTTGGTCCCCTGCTAAAGCAGTCGAGAGAAATTTCACTAATAGTTCATTTTCACCACTGTCCAAATCCGACGGCACATTAGCAACAACATCGCAGGAGAAAGCAAATATTTTTGCAGAGATTCTCGCAGCAAACTCTACTTTAGATTCCCAAGAAGAAGTGCCGCCAGACATTCCGTCCGTAGAGAGTCGAATGCCCGAAGTCGTCTCTTCCGTCAACGCACTATCAGACGAATTTTGCTTGGCCTCAAAAGGAATAAGGCTTACGGTCCTGATGGAATTCCACCCATTATCCTCAAAGAATGTGCACCAAAATTAACACCGATTCTCTGCAAGTTGTTTACCGTCTCGTACAGGTCGAGTATTTTTCCATCATGCTGGAAGACAGGTAGAGTCCGACCAATCCTCAAAAAAGGGAACAAGAACCTGCCCAACAACTACAGGCCTATTGCCCTGTTATCAGTAATCTCCAAAGTGATGGAGAAAGCTATCAATATTGAGCTTATCAAATATCTGGAGAGCTCGGGAATCATCAATGATAAACAATACGGCTTTCGCCACCGAATATCTACTGGAGATCTACTTGCCTACGTCATCCATTTATGGCAAGCATCATTAGAAAAACACGGGAATCTCTAGCTATCGCGTTGGACATATCGAAAGCATTCGACCGTGTTTGGCACGAAGGACTTCTCCACAAACTACCATCATACGGCTCACCACCTCAGCTATGCCATCTCTCATCGAGTTCATGTGGTGGTGGACGGTGTATCGTCTGATACAATTAGCATCAATTCCGGCGTTCCACAAGGATCAATTTTGGCACCAACATTATCCCTTCTCCATATCGATGATCTGTTGGGAGTCAATGATGTCAATGAAGACCTTGCTGAAATCACAGCCTGGGGAACCAACAACCTAGTTGAATTCTAAGCCACCAAAACTCAAGTCTGTATTTTCTCTAGAAAGGCGGAACTCAGTATGCCCGACATTGTAATGTTTGGCACCACCATCTCCACTAAGCCCACCATATCTATGCTCGGTATTTCCATCAGCAACACTCTTTCATTGGATAATCATGTCAGATCCATCGCGAAAGCTGCTTCACAAGAACTCGGATTCTTGTTCCGTGCGAAAACCTACTTAACACCTCAACAGCTCCTCATGATCAACAAAGCGCAGATACGGCCTGTTCTAGAATGCTGTTCCCACATATGGGGTTCAGAACCAAAACATACGCTGATGCTCTTAGATTCCATCCAGAGAAGAGCCATCCGCCTGGTGGCTGACGCCACACTCACTCACTCTTTGACATCTTTGAAACACCGTAGGAAGGTCGGCGACCTTTCACTTTTCTATCGATACTCCACGGGAAATGTTCTTCGGAAATATCTGCTATCATCCCTTCACTAGCAATACCAGTCAGACGAACTAGACAAGCCCAGTCAGCACATCCTTTCGTTGTCAACCTCTAAAGATGTCGAACAGCACTTTATCAAAACTCCTCCATCCATAAAACGGCTAGGCTCTGGAATTCATTGCCTGAGGAAGTATTCCCATCAACATATTATAATCTCCAGAAGTTCAAGAAAAATTCCAACACCTACCTCCTATCCCTATCCTCCCTAAGAACGCACGATGTTCTTTAAACAATATAGGGATTCCCTTTCGTGCGCTCCAAGCAATAAAAAAATATCCTTATCCTCATAAGTTAAGCAGGCCCAAATTAGTTCAGTTCATTGTACCAGTAAGTATATCACCCGGCGAAGCTACTATGTTTGTGAAACATGTCGTGTGTTTGAAAATTCTGTGGAAATCTTATCGTTTGTGAAGTATTTACAAAATATCAGTCATCATGACTCGAAGTATCGATACTTCTTCATAGTCTAACATGCTGCAACGCTACATTATTATGCAAAAAATAGAAAAGGCTCGAGGAAAGCGCACAGAAAAACCAAAACTTTTCTTTTCAATAATCAAGATACATCTTCCCAAAATGGCCGTGAAAATCATATTTTTGATGATTCACACGTATCTAGAATGAATTGAGGGGCCAGGTAGCCGTGCGGACATAGTGTCTATGTTCTAATCCGTACTCGCTTGCCGGTCGTGAGTTCGATTCTCATCGGCTGCAGAAATTTTTCTGGTGGCCCAAGAAAGTGTTTGGGATCACACGTTCGAAGGTGGGGCTGCTTTCATTCCTTGCTCGCACAAGACTCTCGAAGACTTCTGAGGGTTGCTCGTAAGGGGGCAACCGAATGACGGATAGAAGAATTTTAAAAAATTTTCACAATTTGGATATCAAATTCAAGTTTAAAGATAAGCGACTCATAAAATATTCAGACCAAATGAATGATTGTTGCTAAATAGTTAATTCTATCATAAAAAAATAAGTAACCACATTAAAACCGAAACTCATGTCAAGATCGAGTCCACCAGTGCATTCTTTCCATTTTTGCATAATGAAGTGAAGAGGTTTTGATACTTGTAGTCATGTCGGCTGATGTTATGTTGTTCCTATCATGGCTCACAACAGTTGAAAATGGTTCCACTATTTTCAGCGATGTTTTATATGGGAATGTGAACATGTTGAACAAGGCTGTGGAGGAAATTTTCAGCTTCACTCGATGGTATAAAACAACAATCAAGGCGCTCATCAGAAAGACAAAAATTGCATGGCGAATCCCTGAAAATAATAGATTGAATACCTACTTACACGAAATTTCAAATTTTCTCTCTCAATATTAACCATGGAAATAAATGAAAATTAAATAAGTGATTATCAGTTTCTTCAAAATATTTCAGGAAAGGTGGACATTTTTCTGAATTGCAAAACCTCATATGGAGGAGGTCCAAATTACGCGACTGTTGTCTAATACAATCAACTCTCTATCTCCCACCCTTTAGGAGAAAGCAATACTGTCCCTATTAAATCGTCGGACCCTGAATAAAGATGCAGATAGATTTTCAGCAACTTTTTTAAATCTCAATAAAGTGTAGGGTGTTCCATCCGAAATAATCAACTCTCAGTCACTTTTTCAAACAAAGAAAAAAAATTATTTTTTCACCAACCTGTATTCATCTTAACAATATCAGTTTCCTAGGTATCACTCAACTTCAAACCAAATTCAGATATCATAGCTTTCATCAACTTGAAAGATTACCGCATTTTTAGAGGCCATGATCGGTCGGAATATGATTTCCATCGAATTTGGTAAGTGATCTGTTGTCTGATTAACCAGAATCGTCTAATAACGTGCCATTCACCGTCAATCAGCCTTAATACAGAATAAATAATATAAATTCAGTATGATAAACCCAAAACCTCAAAAATATACAGAAACAGTTCCTTCGTAGACGTACCTGTCGAACCAGTAAACGAACATGCTTCAAGTCACTTCACAATATAATTTCAATGTTGCGGAGTTTAGGCTTCAGGGGAAGAGAATTCAATCAATAATCTCTATTCAACTTGTGAGGCAGGATTTGTATAACATCATTGAGGTTGTCGAAATGTGTTTTAATTTGTCCTCTTCCACTAATGGAGAATCCCATTTTGTATTCCGAATGAAGCAATCATCACTGCTATTGAATTGATAGGTAGCTGCGAATGGAAAACAAGAATTTCTACGGCTTCTACGATGTTACAATCATTTATAAGTAGAGATCCTGTATGACTACTGAATATATTTTATTCTGCAGTTTTTTCCTATCATCTGTGCTACCACCGATGGTTTCAGAAAGAAAAAAAAAAGTATAGTCAGCCTCTCAAACGATGCAGCTCAGAATAATTTTTCGATACACTTATTGCCAGAAGGACACTTCAAACTCCTGGAAGGAGGAGCGCGTGTCCTGTCAGAAGAACGTGCAGAAGTGCTTCTGGAAACACTTTTAGCAGGATATCACTGCTTGTACGTTCTGTCTGTGGGGCTGCAGTATCATTATACAGGGGTGGTCTGGCTTGAATTACAGAAAATTCGAGTGTATATACCATTCGTTGGAATAACCGAAGCCCTTCTATAAAATTTGACAAAAATCTTGTCGCTACATGATTCGACAAAAAATCAATTCTGAAGGCTGGATTATCAAGCTGGGAAAGAGATGTTCTGCAGGTCTCCAAAGTGACCACGAAGGAGTGCGAAGCCTCAACTCGACGAGTTAATCTCGCGGGGACTGCCAAAGGAGGAACAATTGTTGATATCTCAGAAGAGCATCGTTCATAAACATATCTATCTATAAAATAGAGCAAGATCGTCAACTCTTCTACGGTGTTCCAGAGAAGTGAGTGAGTTTGTGAGCGAGGCATCATCCACGAGAAGGATTGCTCTTTTTTCGACAGAATCCAACAGTTTCAGGGTATGTTTGGGTGCTGCATTCCAAATATGGGAACAGTATTCCAGGACAGGTTGAATTTGTGCCTTATGGAAGTGGAATAGCTCCTGGCCCGAAACAGGGAACCAAGTTTTTGGGATGCACTCTTAGCAATTGATCTTACGTGATTTTCCCAAGAAAGGTTATTGCTGATAGTAAAACCAACCATCGAAATGGATGTCTTCAAAGGTATGGTTACTCCTGACAAGCTCATATTGAGCACAGTGGGATCGGCTTCCCTAGAGAAAAGGCATGCTTGTATCTTGTTTGTATTGAAATATACCAAGTTGGATCCCCATTCGAGAATTGTTGCCAAGTCCATATTCATGTTGTCAACATTTCTTCCTCGTTTGATTCTGATTTGCCTGGCTGGTGTTGGAGCCCTGGAAGAGGAGGCGGTATGGAGCTAGGGTACTATCATCTGCGAAGCTGTGTACTGAACATGAAGTTGCAGATTCCAACAAATCGTTGATATGGAGTAGAAATAGTGTTGGTGCTAGAATTGATCTTTTCGGAACACCAGCATTTATGATAAGAGAGTCAGATGAAACTCCGTCGACCACTACATGGAGAGACCTGTTCGACAGAAAACCAGCCAGCAGAGAAGATAACTGGAGAGCCAAGCCATAAGATGGGAGCTTGGCGAGGAGTCCGTGGTGCCAGACTCGATCGAATGCTTTGTAGATATCAAGTGCCACGGCTAAGGTTTCAACACATTCTTCAATAGATTGCTGCCATATATGTGAGACGTAAGCGAATAGGTCATCAGTTGATCTCTGATGACTGAACCAATTGCACCTGTACTCATCCCTTTATTAGGTTCATTCGGGTTCCGATTTCAGAACTGTTCAAGAATCGTTCTCGAACTGCGCAGAACTAGTGCGCAGTCGTTTCGAATCCGAGGACGGTTTCAGAACGGTTCACGAATTATGAAAACCCGAACACGGCAGAAGAGAAACTCTGAGAACATAACCTCTATTCAGAATTTGCGAGAAAAACAATAGTTTGGATCCTGTATCTTTATTCGAATATTATATTCTGAAGCTTCAAACTCTACTTTGAGTCTATTCACAATATCTCTGGAAACCCTCTGTGGAGGTATGGTGAATATATTCCATCATATCATTCGTAGCTAGATTGTCAATATGTTTTGTCCCTTGTACCTACATGAATTTCGACATACCCACCTGAAATGTTCAATGAATTGTGTATTTGAATATAATGGCAAAGTCTCCCCAACATAATCCTCCAGTTTTCGGTTTATCCAACAAAAGTTTGAGAATTATCAGATTAGGTAAAGTATTTTCAGCAACTTCAGCAAGTAGCTCCTTCACCACTGCTTCCTGAAGATAAAGATGTACTAGTATCAAATGAATGTACCAACTCCATAATATTGAGAAAATATTGAAAAGAGAAAGAGCAATAATATCGTTATGAAGTTACGCTAAAACAGACAGAATCGAAAACTAAATGAAATGTGCATGCGCCAAAAATAATCCTAGAACGGTTCATGCTCAAGAGCAGGTACTGGTTTCGGATAGTTTCAGGACCGTCCCAGGACGATTCTGAAAAAACCCGAACGCGTAAAGAGTCAGTCCTAGAACAGTTCCACAAAACCCGAACGCGACCTATTTTACTGCGCAAACTCCTGACAGTTCTAGAACCGTAATATTTCGAACCCGAATGAACCTATATTCAAACACCTCCCACTCTGCTTGATATTTTTCCCTCACTAAGAGTCCAGAAGTGGAGCTGCAACCGCGCCCTTCTAGGATGCAGGGTCCTCCAAGAACTTTTTGAACAACGTTTCTCGCGCCTAATCAGGTCAGTAATCCTTGATATTTTCTTGCTTCATCCAAAATTTCACATATGAAACCCAAGTGAAGTGAATTCATGGATAAACTGCGAAGTCATGAAAATAAGCCATGTGGAATCTTACCAATCATTCAAATCAAATTTTAGTTTGTTTTTTCGTGTTTTGCATATCATTTGTCAATCATTCTAGTCACCCGCTTTGCTCTGTATAGAGATGAGAGCTGGAAAGTTCAACTATAGCTTCACTTCTCACAATTCTCCTTCTAGAATATAGGTACTAGTATTTTGCCCAATGATTAACTCAAAAATGTACTCAACATTTTGAATAAATATCATTTTTGGAAACTTTGACAAGTGTGCTTTATCTCGAGAACTATCAGACTTACACTGCTGCGGTTATACTCTAATTGAAGTACATTTCGAATAATGGATGATACGACGAATGGTTTTGGAATTATATGCAGAAAACCAGAGGAAATTCGGAATTTTTTCGATTCGATTTTTATGCTAGGAAAGGGTGTATTTTGAAAACCCTCTTCCTGGGCTATATCTGATTCTCATGAGAATTCTTTCAAGATCGAATAATCTATTGGTAGATGTCTGGGGGTATTTGGGACTTGTGATATGAACTTTAAATTAGTACCCAATGTATGAATGTAAGTCTTGCAAAAACATGCATATACAGTGTCTTTCAAAAGTATCGGAACGGTCTCATATTTCAGGAACGGCTTGAGAAAAATTCACGAAACTTTCTACAGGGTGATTATTGATGATGTCTGGTTCAATGGTGGCATCGGCAATGTTGCCAAGTTTACAGTTTTTCAGATATTAGGAGTAACTTTATTTTTTCAAATGGAATACCCCATTTATTCTTATTGAAATTAATTGAGCGCCTCCTAATTACATGAGTCCCTGAATATCAGATTCGTAATTAACGTGATTTTCGGAATATGACAACATAGCATTTTCGTTAAAAAGTTCTGGAACGGTCCCATATTTCAGAAACGGCTCAGAGAAAATTTATGAAAACTTCGATAGGATAGTTTTTGATGATGCCCGATTCAATGGTGATATCGGCAATGTTGCCAAATCAAGAGTTTTTCAGATATAAGTAATGAGGGGGAGCTGAATTGATTGCAACGAAAATAAATAGGGTTTTCCATTTGAAAAAATTTATTTACCCTCAATATGTGAAAAACTATTGATTTGGCAACATTGCGGATATCACCATTGAATCGGGCATCATCAGAGAGCATCTTGTAAAAAATTTCATGATTTTTTCTTGAGCCGTATTGAAAATATTAGAAGGTTCCCAGACTCTTGAACGAAAATGCCATGTTGTCATATTTCGAAAACCACTGCAATTTAAAATCTGATATTTGGAGACATAAGTAATGAGGCGTCGCTGAATGTATTGCAATGAAAACAAATAGGGTATTCCATTTGAAAAAATGGAGGTACCCTCAATACCTGAAAAACTGTTGACTTGGCAACATTGCCGATATTACCATTGAATAGGGCATCATCGACAATCATCCTGTCGAAGTTTCCATAAATTTTCATTGAGTCGTTTCTGGAATATGGGACCGTTCCAGAACTTTCTAACAAAAATGCTATGTTGTCATATTTCGAAAATCACGTTTATTAATCTGATATTCGAGGACTCAAAAGTGACTAGGAGGCGCTCAATTAATTGCAATAAAAATGAATGGGGTATTCCATTTGAAAAAATAAAGTTACTCCTGATATCTGAAAAACTGTGAACTTGGCAACATTGCCGATGTCACCATTGAATCGGACATCATCAATAATCACCCTGTAAAAAATTTCGTGAATTTTTCTCAAGCCGTTCCTGAAATATGAGACCGTTACGATACTTTTGAAAGACACTGTATGATGAATGTTGATCCTCTTCAACCTCAATCAATCTGGTTGATATTTCGTATATTTTCATTAGGGACATTGATTTTCATTTTTTGGAGCGCACGGAAGAAGATTCCTATAATATTCGTGATTCATTGTGAATATTTTGAGAAAATCGATTGATACTGTTTATTATTTATCCATCAATTCAGTAATGCTGATAATCATGATGAAGTAGCCGGTCTGCAAACACCTCAAAATGAAAATATGGTGGACAAATTACTCAAACACGGCAAAGGAGAGCAAAACATGTTCCTTTTGGCAAGTAATTAGTAAA